CTTATACGGCGACTTAAAATGTAAAATGGAGTGCCGACAAGAGATACAACCCAAAACAGAGCTAAAATAGCATATGTGCGCTTCAAAGTTACAATTCGTTTGTATCTCAGCCCCAACAACAGGGCAGGAAGTCTGTCCACACTTATGGCCGTCAAAGTAAATAAAGATACTCCGCATAATACATAGTTTGTTATGTATACCCCATCATATGTGAATCGGAAAATACTCCAGTTCTGAAGAGTGCAGGAGATCAAAAAGGTAGCATAGAGAGGCTGGTTAACAAGACCAACCAACAGATCAGTTGTTGCCAGACAACGATACAAGAGTTTGGACGGCGGATGAAGGGAAGTTTCCTTATGAAGGACAACAAGGATAAGAGTATTCCCAAGAAATGCAGTGATGGAGAGGAGAATGTGAACCGCTGAGAAAAGAAAAGATTCTTGATGGAACTCACGTACTAGATAGCGGGACAAACCCAATTCTTCCAAGATAGTTTTCGTCTGTGCTTCACCTTCTGTTAAATTACCAGTCGCCATCATTTCTCAGTTCAACAGTTCAACAAGGCTGTGGTACATTAAAGAACAAGGAATTATGATCCACGATTCCAGGTATCCTCTGTTTAAAGGTGCCAACTAAAGTTTTGACGGCAGATAAAGGGAAGATTCCTTTGAACGGGACTTAGGACTTGGTAAGGAAAAGAAAAGGTGTGTGGAAGAGCAGAATTTTGACCGACTGAATTATAAATTGATTGCTTTCGTAATCCACCAACCAAAGGAGGTGAACATGACTGCTTTTAAAATCTTTGTTTCGATTCACCTCTTATCAAATTTCCGGTCGTGCTCATCTGACAATCAAGCTTAATGGACGTCTGCCGCCATTTTTCGGTTTTTAATTGCCTGAAGACATATGTTTTCTTAATAGCACATCCCGGGCCATCAATACTCAAAGGTACTTTCGTTGAAAAGTTGCCTTAAAAAAACTTCTTGAAGCAATTACTCACCTAATTTGATTTTTTTCCGTTTTTTTATTACGAACCAAAGAAGGCAACGATTCTTTGGAAATTAGAAATTCTGCTAACCATTTAACTCCCAATATCTGATTGTTATTTCTCCTCACTTGCTGCTTCACTTTTCCCCTTAAATTGGCTGCGAGAATTTAGTGTTTGATCAAGATAATATCTTGTACCTGATAAGTTTGAGTATTCTCGCTACCTGTTTGCTGGATATTGTATGAATACTATAGGGAGAAGGTACATGTTCATCACTCCTGGGAGTTTCAGGGTTAATAGCTCTAAAGATGTTCAGTTAACTCCATGATACTATTAAGCCTTTAAGCCATGAGAGTGATTAGCATCTTGTTTCTCCTTACAATCTCAGCCCTGAATCACACATTAATGTCATGAGAATATAGGAAATGATTACCAACTAAAGGAACTCTTGATTGTTACACAAATTCTCCTTGTCAACTCCATAGTAAATGTACAAAGAACATTATGGAGAATCTGAATGCTGATATTATGGTGTAAAAGGGATAACCATTATACAAAAGCGCGATCGTTACCACCGATAGAAATTTTTATTTCAGAAAGTCGCCCCGGAAATTTCTTTTTAAATCTTCTTGTTCATGTAAAACGGCAGCAAAATGACAACTCTGTTACCAGTTTCTAAACGACGTCTTCATTATTGTGTAGGGAGAACTTACACTTTAGTTATTTGCGGGGGTGCAATGATTCAATAATCTTACCTCTATGCTTCGTCTTTCATGCAACTGAGGGAGTCCAATAGAGGAATTTCCACCAACTTCACACTAAGGCACGAATCAATTGTGAAATGTGCCATGTCAAAGTTGAGGAGATACAGTTAACCACGACACACTCGGTCACGTATAGAATCAAGATTTTCATTAAATTGCGTTTCGTTAAATAGTAATTTTTCTCTCGAATCTACATCTATAGGTTAAATTCCATCAATTCATTTATCACCGGGGGTTGACTAGATGACAAACCAGATGAGACATTTATTAAATTGCGTTAGGGGTTCTTTCCATGGAAATATCCTCTTGAATCATTCATGATGGCATCTGCAACTCTTACTATAGCTTTTACTATATAATATTATTACCTAAAATTGCTGTGCGTCACAACTGGTCACGTCCAATCTTGAATTAAATTGGCGGAAAAGGTAGTAACAGCCAAAATTAAGAAGTTTGAGATGTGACACTTTCTTGGGTACTAAGATCTACAGTAACTGCTTTCAAAAGCAGTGTTTTTTTTTTACTTGAAATGCGAATAAAAAGTGTCTGTTTTGCGAAGATACATGTCACTTTTTTATCAGATTGTGTGGTTGTGTTTTGCATTTATTATCATCTATGAGAAAACCCGGTTTCTCAGTAATTTGCAGCTAATGAGATTCTGTAAAATTGTTGGAATTGGTTCACCGTGAGGCATATTTTGCATTAAAAATGATAACAATAATGAAAAAGATAGCAAAGTCGTATGTGAATTCAACTGAGCAATATTAAGCCATAAATGGTGCGACCTTTCGCTTTTTTTTCTGTTTGTTTGAAAGAGTACGATCACCTGCTTCACCGGAAACTCTTTTCAGCAAATTGTCTTCTTTTACGTAAAAAAGCAAAAAAATTATGAGAAGTTATGTTATGAAATTAAGGTGTTTGCCAAACCTTTTGTGATTAATATAGGTCTTAATTAGAATTAAGTACACTCATAGACATTTTTGACGCAGGCATCAAAATTTTTTATTATGGGATAAAAAAAAACTTTCTTCTGTAGCAATATGTCTGAAAAAGTGCATATCATGCATGTAAATATGAAATATTTTCTGCTTTGCTTATATTTTTTCCTTTTTTCCGGCGTACGCAGATTAACTTCAAGCAATCAATCGAGCATCAACTTGACCTTGAAGAGAAACAGTAGTATGGTTTTGTGGAAAGAAGATTTTAACTGAACTTTTATCCAGGACAAATTCACTTCTTGGAGGCGACAGACAATATCTATGCTAGAAAATATTCCCCTGCACTTCGTAACTTAGTAAACAGTTGTTTTGTTTTTTCCAATGCTTATTTGTAACTACATTTAACAAGAGATATTTTTTCTACGATCGCACCTGCCAGCAGGCCACGATTATATAACTGATCACATTTTGTTAATTACATTGACACAGAAACTTCCTAAGTAACGTCACTTACATAATATGCGAATACGCAATGCTTCTTCTGTCACAAGAGGTTCTCATTTCTTCCCAGGAGTTGCGTTAAATATAGTTTACTCTTTATAAATTTCATTGCAACAAGTAATTCTGTCTTATCATTCCGTAGAAGTACTCTAAAAGATCCCTCCATACTGATACAATTCGTTTTTGTTTTACAGCACCATGGATGACAGAAATATCGATCCCTTCCCGGAGTAAAATTTTCAATTATTAAAGTTGAATTATCATTGACAATGAAGCGATGAGGCATGGTGTGTATCATCTAAAAATGTTGTGCGTCGCAACCAAGTATTTATCCAACTGGTGAAGTTCAATCTGGAATGAATTTGCATTAAGAGACGAAAATATAAAAATTTGTGCTCTAATTATCATTTCACAATATAGTTCAAAAGCCACCCGTACCGAGAAGTGCCGTTGATAAGATATATGAATATAAGGGTTTATATCAGCTTCAATTTGTAAAGACCTTTAGAATTATGATCAGGAAACTGAACCAGATTATTCAGGGTAAAACATTAATCAATTGGAAATCATTTGATCGCAGACGGCGTAAATGAGAACCCCTTCAAGGTTTTTTTTCTTTGCGGCTCATATCAGACTAAAATTGAAAACGGAGACTATTACTCGACAGGTACGAAATACCACTTCACCAGATTAATACCCTCCTTATCATCGTCTGCTGTCTATTATCTCTCAAAGCCTCTTACCTTGTTCTTTCTTCAAAATTCATTTATACCCTCCCCTCAAGGTATCAAAATTCTCCACTTACTTCACTAATCCTCCAGCGGTAAAGAGACGGGTTGAACGTCAAGTTAAAGAAAACTATGGAATTTGCTATTAGCTCTAAGACAACTAAATGTGATGAAAATGTCTTACTATGAGTGATCATAATTTCCAGTAAATTAATGGGTGCAGAGCAAAAATAATAATGCAACTGCACCCACAGTGCACTGTGTACTGGCTGGCTTGGCTGCTTTTTAAAGATGATCTCGTATTTGGCCGTGAAGATGACTTAAGACGCAGAAAATCTTTGCGCACGAAGCCAGTGGGATTACTAGACAAGATGTAATGTAAGAACAGGAAAGCTGACTTTTTACAAAAAAATTAAACAAAAAAATTCATAACTGTGGCATTTTTATTGCTCTCATAGTAATTTCATGTTACACGCTCTTTTCTCTGAATGCATACTGTCACGCGCTTCCTTGTTCCCAGGTCCTCTCTTCCTTCCGCGTGGACGGACCTTAGGAACGAGGTCCCCTGATGCAAGCGGTTCTTTTGGATGAGGTCAATTTGATGAACTTCGCCATCACCGAGAAACGAATCCATCTGAAACTACACTACCGAAATGCAATATTACAGTAAAATGTAAAATAAATAGCTACTACACATACAACACACGAAGTCGTCAACGCCATCGTCAGGTACTCTTATATAAAGGCCTATACACAACACGATAAATAAAGCGACATTATGTGAATTAACGCTGGAATGATCTTTGTCTTATCTCAGTAACAGGCGCCAAAATCAAACTCTAGATATTCTTTCTCCGCAAAATTTTCAGATCCAGTTTTAA